CCGTAAGTGTGTGTAGGGGGGGATGGGGGTTGGGTTTGTGTATGTGGGTTATGTTTCTCTTTTCTGTTTCTATATCTATGCTTCTGTGTCTGCCTTTGTCCCTGAAGCTCTGTTTCGTGTGTGTTTTCTTTTTCTTGTCTCTCTCTCTATCTCTTTCTTTCTCTCTCTCTATATATATGCATTAGTCGCTGAATATCGAAACAGGCAGATAAGTAAATGAATGTATAGATTATTATTATTCTATTCAGATGTTATCGCTGAGCATTATACCATCATTATATACTATTCTTACCACGTGTCCTCATGTAATACACTCCTATCAATATCATTATATCCTGCCTATGCGATACAAACCTTCAAGCAATAACTCCCTCTCCCTCCCCCTCCCTTCCCCCACCTCCTCCAGGGCGACAGCGGAGGACCTGTCATAGCCCAGGTCGACGGCGTGTGGGTCCTGCTCGGCATCGTCAGCTTCGGGAACGGGTGCGCTGACATCACGGCCCCCGGAGTGCACACCAACGTCGCCAACTATGTGGACTGGATGATCGAGTCAATCGGTGGATCTTTCTGTTAGGCACGGCGGGGTCCCGGACGGCTCAGAATGGGGGTCACTTTCTGTTAGGAATTTGGAACGGCGGGGTCCTCGTCGGCTTAGAATCGGGGTCACTTTCTGTTGGTCTGCTTGGAATGGGGTTCCTTTGTTAGTTCCGAAAGGGGGGAGGATTCCTGTTCATCAGTTCAAAATAAGGGGTTTCTCGTTAGTCCATTCGTAACGACAGTGCTTCCTGTTAGACAGCTCATAACGGGGTATTTTTCCTGTTTGTTCATAACAGGGGTGACCTCTGTTAGTCAGCCGATCCTGAACTTTTGTGTGTGAAGGGACTCTACTGAAGTTATTCAAGCTCAGAAACTGGAACATATATATATAAGTTATCTGATGAAAAACATTCAACGAAATCGCTAAGCAGACTACTTTCAAGCCTTTGTAACTCGAAATTCACTGTATTCTAAATTCTTTGCAATAAAGATATTCGCATTTCTCTCGCGTTTACAACATCCAGCATCCTACGAACCGAGATGCACTTGCAATCTGTGCATGCATGTACTAACTCATATCTTAAAAATAATGTTCAATTTTTGGGGGGTTACTTTCTTTAACCCATATCCATATTGATCGTAAACAAGGGATTAAAAGAAAGTCTTTTCTTATGTATGCGTTTATCTGTGTGTTTATGGTTGTGTCTCTGTGTCAGACGGGTATTCAAGTCCAGGTAAGTGTTGGTCCGTCTGTCTGATCGTGGAAAGGTGTGGAAACTCTCGGGGGATGCTCGCCATGTTTCACTTATTCCGGGGAAAGATACTTTTTCCACGCTGACTTCTACGAGCGAGTCAACTGATACTTACTGGATACAAGATGTATATGTACACACATATACATACATAGATCTATTTAC